TTGTTGTCAATATTATCACCAGTAAATTCCGGTTTAGTTTCAGCCAGCCACGATGGTTCTCCGGTGGTAATCGTTATTGAACCTACAGAAATTGTACAAACAAATGTCCTCCGATTCCGATATTATGTATAAAAAACCCCAGTAGGCCTAATTATAAACAAAATCCCGACGATCCAGAAATTGCGTAAAAAATCCCGCCGATCCTGACTTTAAAAAATCCCGTAATTTTACTAAATCCCGCCGATCCAGTTATTGCGTACAAAATCCCGTAATTTTACAAATGAATTCCCGTCCATCTTTGATAGGGTATCTGTCATCCATATGTGATTTTGTTTGATTGTCACTATGGTTCTTGTTTCTATTTATGAAATATGGTACCGTATCTTATTGTGTCCTATCTTAAACTTTCGGACCAATGGACCTTCGGACCAATGGGACTTCGGACCAATAGACCTTCGGACCAATGGGCCTTCGGACTAATGGACCTTCGGACCAATGGGCCTTCGGACCAATGGACCTTCGGACCAATGGGCCTTCGGAATAATGGTCCGTCCCCGAAATCAACAATGAACTTCTAAATTAAAGTCCAAAGTGGAGGTGATCCAACTCTGTATGCAAGTCCAAAAAACAAAGATGATTTCTACAGTGATTTGGAAACTTGTGTGCTAAATATACCAGTAACCATCTGGTACTGCTTGGAGATTTATTACAAGCACATTTTTCTAGACTAGAATATCCATACTTACCAACCTGAGAGATTTGAAATGCGTGACTGCACCAGTTGAGTGGGATCTGGGAGTGGGGCGCCAGGGCCCCTGGGGTCACTGGCAGAACCCTGGAGACCCGGGTTTCAGCCACATATTAAACGGTTGGTTGTGATAATGGAACGCACAAGACCACACGCGACTACTAAATTCTATTATGTGCAAGGCTGGGTTGTTTTGGTGGGGAAAGTTAAATTTTCTCGGTAAATTGATTCTCGAACGAGATAACAAAAGCTCTAATGATTCAAGCTATTGCATGACCGTTTTTATATTTAATAACACCAATTTCTTCTAATTTTAAATACATTTTAATATGAATTCGTGATAATTCGTTATCACGCATAGCTTTTTGCTAAATGCGTGTTTCATCTAAAATCACTTTGAAATGCGGGACCGTCCCGCACGATACTAGACGGTTGGTAATTATGCATATCACACAAGGTCTCTTGGCGACACCCGAGATCAAAACAATAGCACCAAATTGATCACATTATCACAAAACGATCACCATTAAAGAGTATCAAGAATTCCCGCACGTATCGTAGTGCGACATGGGACACAGATCATTAAATCATCTGCTGTACAATGAAAATCAAGGTCAGATACGTAAATAATACACACAAACGAAATACACGACAAACTAGGCTCCAAGATCTCGTTGAGATAAAAGACCAAATGTCTCAAATTTTCCAGGAGTTACTTTTAGAGACCCTACCATCATTAACATCAAGTACAACACCCGATGAATACTCACGGCATCAAAACATCTATTCACAAGACGTCAGTTAAGGCGTTTTGGAAAATAACCAGTAAGAATCCTGATTGGTTCATAGATAAATCTGACAGAATATTACTTGCAATTAAAAGTAAGAAAGATGACTTTTTAGCTTACAAACATACACCAACTGAAAGTAATCTCAAAGCAGTACTCAGAAAGTGGTCAGAGGATGTGCCATTTGAATACTGGGAGGAGCTTGGTTGTAAGATTCAGAGAGATTCAGATGAAGGCAATGTAAAGGGCATGTATGAAGGCATAAAGTGAGCATTGGCCCCACCGTGAGAACGACATCTGCCATTAAAGACAAACATAGTAATGTTTTGACAAATCAGGTAGAACAACTAGAACGCTGGGTGAAACACTTTTCAGATTTATACTACCATGATTCTTATATAGCTCCTACAGCACAGAAGATATCAATATCCCAAAAACTATGTTTGAACGGGATACAATACCGAACACTGAAGAATTAAAAAAGGCTGGTGACAGTCTACCAAATGGAAACGCTGTTAGAGTAGATACAATTGCTGCAGAGCTCATAAAGAGTGGTGGCCCCATCCTACTTACACATTTACACAAATTATTTTGCATTTGCTGGGATCAAGGATGTTACTTTATGCCTTTTTGATAGCAAAATAAATGCACATGAAACAACATAACTTCAGTTCACCATGTTATTTTTATTCCTCCCTTCCACTGCTCCACACATAGAGGGCGGTAGATAGAATATTATTAAGGATGAATGTGGTATTATTGCCTAACAAAAGCGTTCTTTCTTAAGACCTGAAGGATGCCAACATAATAACAATCATAAGAACAATTGCGATAGAATTTGATGCAATAATTACAGAGGCATATCACTTTTGAGCATTGTTGGAAAGGTCTTTGGTACCCAGAATCGCAATGTGGTTCAGACCAGGGCGATCTACACTTGATATGATCTTCTCGCTCTGGAGAAAAGCAGAGAAATGCAACAACCACCATTCCTTGCATTTATCGACCTGACTAGTCCTTCAGCTTTTCGACTGAACGTAAACAAAATACCTTTGCCGAATTAAACAGCTACAATTATTTGTTAGGCTAGTAATATATTAGAATGTTTTTAAACAGAACGAGCTGAAAGAGAACACACTGTAGCAACTACGCTTGGACTGTAGCTCCAAATCATGTACGGTTGGTTATTTTTGAATGTTTAATGATATAGATCAAATGATTGGTTTCAATTACATACAGGGCAACAAAACTTTGAGTCTGATATCGGGAGTGTGCGTTTCTCTGTCACTTATCGCTTTGGTTGTTTCTCTCATCGTCTACTGCTTATTTCTGTAAGTTTTTAAATTTTTTTTTGTTAGTAATTTTAAATGGTGATTTCAAGATTTTACAACATCGAGAGTAAACCTAATACAATTACATACTACATCGTAGTAAACATCATACCGTTTAATTATAAAGAAATAGCGTTGAATAAAAGCAATCCAAAGTAGGAGAGTAACAAATTAGTGTATTATTATAGACAATTAATAAGACCTGTTAAAATCAAGGTGATCAAGGTAAATGATGTGAACATTTAAGATAAATTTATCTCTATTTTTTCAATAATTCACAAATTCAACATACATGAACTTAAAATACAGAATTTTCTTTTGCTATTTTAGTCAGGGAGTTATGATAAAATAACTACAAAACATCTAAAATAGATTGACAGCAATTGTATTAGTTGTCATAAATGTAGTACTACGGTGTTTTCGACAGCTTAAGAAAACGATAACGAATATGGGTACGTCATCAAATTTGTATACAACCCTTCCCTACAGTAGCATATTTGCCACAACTTATAGGATTCATGTTTATTGCATGAATCATGGATGATATTCAGCTCGTACAGCAAATTGTCAAGATTGTTTTAGACATGAATGACGATAATGATAATGACGTATTCGTTTTCGAAAACACCCTAGTACTACCTTTATGACAACTTATACAATTGCTATCAATCTATTTTGTAGTTATTCCCACTCCCCACTAATAAACCTATAACAAATTCCTCTAATTTGACATACACTAGAATAATAAACTAAAAATAATAAAAACATTCAATTTAAAATTTAGTAAAGGACAAATGTAAGAGGCTAAGATTTAAAAAATTGTTTCAAAGTATTGACACAACAACGTTTAATCTTTATTTATTTTTATATTTGCATGAGTATGCTTGACAAAAGTTTTGGCCGATCGAGACAACAACGTCCTAGGGGGTCCGGGGGCATGCCCCCGCGAAATTTTTGTGTTCTAGACGCCCGAAAATAACATTTGAGGCGTTGTGGGGCTATCATTTTTTTTCTTTTTCTTTCTTTTTTTCTTTTTTTCTTTTTTTTTTACCGGGGGGGGGGGCGGGCCCCCCTAAATCCGCCCCTGTTTATCAAGGTACAAGGTATGTTGTACCTTGATAAAGACCTGAGGATAGGTCGAAATATTGGTTTTCTCCAATAAAGTGTTTCTGAAGTCTATACATGGTATTCGTTTCCTATATTCTTTTGTTATATATATATACATATATATATAAAAATATATATATATAATGTATATAAAACTATTGTCTCCGGCAGGATTTCAGCTTGCAACTTCTCACTACAAAGGCGCGAGTGTCTTATCGTTATACCACATAGGGTTAGACCTGCACAGATCTAAACCCACAAACAACTTTTCTTGGAGCTCACACATGTTTAATTGAGAAACTGACTTGTACATTGTCGTTGCTAATTATAACATTAGTGTATAATCATTAATAGAAAAATATACAAATTCATATTTAATTGTTTACATGTAAATAGGGAACTATGGAAATCACTCCGCGTTTCAATTCACAAAAACCTGGTCGTTAACATGATTTTGATGCAATCACTCTTTATTTTTGGGATCGACAAGACAGGCCACAAAGTAAGTAGCCCATCACTGTAATGTTTTGTTTATCATATCATAATTTTATTATCATATTCAGATTATTCTTTATCTGTATTCATTTCAATTGTTTCCATCAGCAAAACATCACATTAATAAACATAGGACAAATATAAACACCGTTATAAATGTATTACTATTACATTATAATAAACATGTTTAACAATTTACGAATTCAAATATCGCTACTGGCAATTCTTGGTCTGTTACGTACTTTATTCTACTTATGCCGGGACAAGCTTTTGTCCCGAGCAATAAGGTCTTTCCACAAATCACGGTCTTCCATAAAGCATTTTATTTCCTTCGTCTGTTGAAATCCCTGTGTACTCGTAAGACATCAATGTAAGTTTTAGCTGGTCTACCTCTACCACGCGCACCATAGGTAGGAAGGAGTTCAGAAGAGTAGACTACGTGCAACTTCATTAGTGCTGCTATGACAATGTCCTGCAAGTCTCTCATCCTTCTCCATCTGATGGTATCTGTTAAGCGAGGTACATCTCCATATAATGATTCATTGCTGATAAGGTTGTTCTCATTAACTTTGGCATTCACTGCTGTTCTCAAAATTCATGTATGTGTGCCGTTGAGTCTGTTGGCAATTGTATTTGTTATATCGTCCACATCTCACTACTGTAGATAAATACTGTTTCTATGGTGACTCTAAACAATCTCCCTTTAAGCTTTCTTCAATTACGATCTCCATATCTTTCCCATCTTGTACATTGCCAACCAGGCATGTGCTTTCCTCTTTATTATGTCCTTTTCAGTACTTTCTAGATGGCTTTTCTAAATACTTGAAATCGTCTTCTCTTTCTATTACTTCACCATTTAGTGTCATAAGTGTTAAAGTTTCCCTTTGGTTAAATTCCATATATTTTGTCTTTTTAGAGTTCACAGAGAGCCCAATATTTGCTGCAGTCTCTTCTGTACTTTTATGGAGTTCTCGGGCTTTCTTAATATTAGAAAATAAAACTCAGGATATTCAGTACTTTTATGACTAGTTTATTTATGACAGTACACAAGCTTTCGTGCACACAGTGTACTTCTTCAGGTGAATGTGAAGTTAACATAAGTTTATGTTAACTTCACATTCACCTGAAGAAGTGCACTGCCAACCAGGCATGTGCTTTCCTCTTTATTATGTCCTTTTCAGTACTTTCTAGATGGCTTTTCTAAATACTTGAAATCGTCTTCTCTTTCTATTACTTCACCATTTAGTGTCATAAGTGTTAAAGTTTCCCTTAGGTTAAATTCCATATATTTTGTCTTTTTAGAGTTCACAGAGAGCCCAATATTTGCTGCAGTCTCTTCTGTACTTTTATGGAGTTCTCGGGCTTTCTTAATATTATAAGTTTATGTTAACTTCACATTCACCTGAAGAAGTGCACTGTGTGCACGAAAGCTTGTGTACTGTCATAAATAAACTAGTCATAAAAGTACTGAATATCCTGAGTTTTATTTTCTATTATATATTAGACTAGTACGGCTTATCTATTTTTTATTTTCTTAATATTGTTAGATTTAAAACAATAAGTCCAAATCGGTGATGGTTCTTCGACCGTGTTAGCTACTTTTGCGTTTTTCTAGAATTAAACCTAGTTCCTCCTCTGCTCCATCAAATGCTTTCCTCAAGGCGAGCACAAAAACAAAATACAAAGAGATATGGAGCCAGTGCGTCTCCCTGTAAGACTCTCGAGGTTATGCTAAAAACATCAGTTGGGCCATATGTTGAAATGATCTTAGCATCAGTCGCACTATACATTAATTCGATTGCTTTAACAGTCTTTGGTGGATTCCAATACGCTCTAAGCATTTTAATCAGGTCAAAATCAGGAAAAAAAAAAACAAAAAAAAAAAAACACAAATTTATTTGATGCTCTACTTTTTTTTAACAATAATAAACAGTGGCGGGTGGAAAACGTTTTTTTTATTATTTATTTGTTTTAAATACTCATCAGTTGGAATAAAAATAACACATAGAGGCCTAGAATGGCAATATCTTACATCAGACAACAACTTCGAAGGGCATCTTAAAAACAATTAAGATAAATTCTCTCACATCTAAAAAATCCCTTTTTTTTTGTTTTTCCGCCCCTATTTTTTCAGTGACTGAATCGAAAACTTTAGTTAAATCTATAAATATCATTACTGCTGGAAGATTGTTACTCTTTACCTCTTCGATAAGTCTCCTCACAGCCAGTATACAGTTTACAGTACTACGGCCTAAACGAGAATCCGTTTTGATTTATTCTTAGGTGATCATCTACCACATTCCGGATTTTGTTAAATAGCAGTTAGTTGAAAAGTTTTGCAAAAAATTATGTTAAGCTAATGCCTCTATTAACCTTCAGGTTTACTTAGGTCTCCAGATTTTGGGATAGGTATAATGTTGGATATCTTCCATAGGTCCGGGATAATTACATTTAGTGCTTGTTGCAGAAATATAGAATAATATTGTTTACAGCACATCTTCAGGAGAGAAGGGACCCTCGAATATTTCAAGATCATCAAACACCTTTTCTATTTCTTCGGGTTGTCCCTGGTCAATAATTTCTTCTTGTTCCCCACCTAGTAATTTGTAGAAGTGGTGATAACATACCATAATTAAATAAAATAAAAAATAAAATATGTCTATTTGTTTGTCCGTTTTTCTAGAAGACATGCGCCGTAAAACCATTCAATTATCCGATGTATTTACATTCTGCATTATCCACCGAGTCGTTTAAATAATAATGTATCTTTCAGATCGGATGTGCAGTTGTTAGTGTTCTTCTTCACTTTACTGCGCTGAATACTTTCACTTGGATGTTTGGTGAAGCGGTGTACTTGCTTTTCAAAGTTTCCACATCAGCTCCTAGCCAACACAACCAACTTCGAAATTACATGGCAGTGTGCTATGGTATTCCCCTTATCATCGTTGCCATTTCTTCGGCTGGAATCCCATCCGGACACAATCATGATGACATGTAGGTTACTGATTAATTTCTAATGCTGGAGACACATGGGTTGGGCAAGTGGGGAGTAGGCTCCGACGGAGAGAGCTGCTTCACTCCTCTCCAGATAAGAAACAAATTGTCATAGAGGAGAAAAGGCCTTTTAAATCATAAACTGTCATAATTTTGGGGAGTTTGCCACTACTGCCGATAGATTTAGAGTGACACCCGAGAAGCCCGCTTTGCTCTCGTCAGACATCACCGCCCCTCCCCACACCACTAAGGACATTGGACACTATGTCAGGCAAATCCTGGCGTACGTATCACCAGAGAACAGTGAAACTGGTATCACCCCTAGCGTATTGTATTGTTAAAATACATGTATTAACGCGGCATCACCACAAAAAATACGGTATATTGTATAGGATTTTTTTGTAATTTAAAAGGATAACAAATGTGAACACATTGAGATATTTTTTTTATCTTTTCCAGTTGTTGGCTTGGTCAGGAAAGAGGAATGATATGGGCATTCGTAGCACCAGCGATTTCAATTGCTATGGTAAAGGCTGTTTGAGTATAGCTTTTACATAAAAATTCTTTGATTCCTCTAAGTATTAATTTCGTAATTTTGTGTTTTTTGACTACTAACTTATTTGATTTTCTTAAGATTATTAATAATATTTTACAAAAGTTAGCGTAACGTTTATGTAAAGATGCGTATGCTGCACATTATCTTCTTAATGACAAATACATTTACCTTTATGTTAATACTGTACACATTTTTAATGAATTTTTCTCAAGGTTAACACTGGAATAATGTGCATTGTTTTGAGAATAATCTACAAACGAGCCGGTAATATGGTAGGAAAACCAGCTGCAGAGAGGACTAAGTTTAAACAATTGAGGTAATTGTAATAAACAAAATGGATAAATAATAGTAGTGCTCGAATAGGAACAAGATGCTTATAAAAGTACAGTTACACAAAGTAGAAAACGTGTACGTTGATATTATTGAGAGAATAATATTTTAATTCGAATATTTCGAGCACTCCGGTGCTCTTATTGAGCGATATCACGTATGATTAAAATGTTTTCACAAATCGATACCAGTCCACACTTCGCAAGGCCACTTGGTTTGAGTTTATAGTCCCTTTGTATTAATTGTGTATTTATTTTCAAACAATTGTCCAACAGGAACGTTTTTTTCCCGCTTACAGGCAAGACTTTGAAATCCTTTAAAAATTATTATTATTATTATTATTATTATTATTATTATTATTATTATTATTATTATTATTATTATTATTATTATTATTATTAATATTATTATATTATTATTATTACTATTATTTTAATTACTATAAGTATACTTTACACTAATATATTAATTATATTGCTATATATTATTGCTATAATTTCGTAAATTACTTAAAATTGCAATTACAATTTCGTTTAAATTACACTCAGAATATTTACAAATTACACTTAGAACACTCAATACTAAATATAATTATTTAGGTTACATTTAAACATATTCAAAGAATTAGAAAAGAGATTAACTTCTGGAAATTTTGCAACAAAAACAATAATCAACAGTTTTAGGTGGTGTCCAGGTCCAATCTTTTGTTTGAAATCAGAGGCGGGCCGACATGAATTGTGCACTTTCAATTTATTAGCCTTGGTTTTTCAACATCAATGTGGTAGGTGTTGTTTTGTCAAAATGTAGGAACGCAGTAGTATGTGGAAGGGTTTGATCAAAAAAAAAATCTTGTTCCCCAGGTTCTCAAATTTTTGAATACGTTAGTTTATGCTTCAAAAACAAATATTTACTATATAATCTATTATAAACATACATAGACATTATTAATACCAGCCACTAGTTTGAAAATCGAAAAATACAAAATATATATACAAATAAATAAATATATATATATATATATATATATATATATATATATATATATATTTGTGTGTGTATAATATATATATAATTAGAAAATTAGTAGATTTGATTAATTCAAGAAATCATTTAGAGTTTGAGTGTTTTCCTTAAATATAGCAAATGATGTCACCCCTTTGAAAAAGTCAAAAAATTGAACAATAGAATCAACATTTTAATTGCTTGATACTTATTTATACTTGATATTTTAATACGTTTAGACTTAAATGCACTTTATGGCTTATTGACCAAGCATGTCTTTTGTGGTTATTATTTTGTTTATATTTTTTCGCAAATTACAAGACAACGATTTTTTTTACTGTGGAGTGACGGAGTCAAGGGGGTCCAGTCGACCCATAACCTCCCCCTAATTTTAAAATTAAAGAAAAAAAGAAAGTTATAATAAAACGTTAAGTCTACTGAGAGTGCCATTTCCGGACATCTTGAGGTGCCATAATCAAAAATTAAATTTAGGCCCTCTCCAGTCTTTATTATATTCATTACGTCAGTTTGCAATAATTATCTTTCTCGCAATTATCAACTTTTACCTAGTTCTAAATTGTTTTATTTGTATTTATTCTTTACTAGTTTTGTTGTTTGTTATATATAATTGTGAGTTTAATGTCTGCAATACAACACTAAATACATGGCCAATTGTTTTTCCATATATGTATTTAACCCATTGTTTAAGCACCTGGATCTAAATTTCGGCTGTATCACGATTGTTGTATTGCCAAAATAAAATTTCCTTCCTTCATCTGTGGAAGACATTCCATGAGCCCACTCTATATGAAATTTCTGGGTCCGCCATATAGTGACAATTATTTAGCTTAACCTTACAGTATGTTTAAGTGACCAATACAAGTTTGATATTAATTAAATATCTCTGAAATTATAGTTTTCATTATGATTGTTTTAGGATAATATAGATGATCCAGTAATTCTTTGATGATTACATACCCGTCATTCTAATAATATTTGAAGCTCACATGTCGCAATTATAATTTAATTCATTGTTGTTAACTCTTATTTGTCAAATAAATAGAATTTAAAAGGGTAATTTAAATTCCATTTCCGGGCCTCCAAAATACTGAAAAATATTCGTAGCTCAACTCCAACCATGGCGGCGTTGACGTGGTCCGGACTCTCTTTAAGCACCCACTTCCAGAAATCCGGAATACTCCACTTCTCTTTTTAATAATGTCAGAGTTACTTAGGTGGTCGTGTTTCCATTAACATGAAAATTGTTTCCATAAGTTCTAAAAATTTAGAATACTTAAATTTTGTGAAAATGTACATGAATATTGTACATTGTCAGGATAAAATACAAATAGAACCCTATGACAAATATATCAGATTTATATTATTTCCCCAAAGTCAGCTGCCAGAACACTTTAAACTGTTTACAGTAAACTAATCAAACATCATTCAAATATTTTACTTCAGAAGGCCCTCTAGAAAATTGTTCTCTGATACCATTATTACTTCATGGTTGGTTACACAATCACATAAGCCTCATCTCCGTTGTCAGCTATCTCAAAATCTGATTTCTTTTTACAGAAAAACTACTCGTGCTACAATTATGCTGCTACCACTCATGGGCACCACGTGGCTTTTCGGACCGTTTGCTGCCAATTTTGATACTGTATTCCTTGATTATGTGTTTAACTTGCTTAACGGATGTCAAGGAATCTTCATATTCCTTATCTATTGCGTCTTTGATAATGAGGTAAAATTCACTTATCAAATTGTTTTCAGTTATCTTGAAACAAGAGCGACATTTACAAGCAGGTTTTTTTTTTTTTTTTTTTTTTTTTTTTTTTTTTTTTTTTTTAATAATATGAGTACCGGTAACTATAATAACGTCGACCTTTGTGATTTTTGCCTTTTTTTTTCTTATGAAATCTTAATTTTTATTATATATTCTGGCAAAAGATATAATACAAAGCTATACAATACATTACAAAGAATCTTAATCGCTCTTTCTTAAAATTTAGTTACATTACGTACTTTTGAATCTCAAAATTGTCCATTCACGCACGTTATGAACTCATGAATCCACCGTGGTTTGATTGAGCTATAATACGTATTGGAAAAAGAAGGAAATATTGACATGAAACACAAGGTAGTAATTAGCAAAGATCGTATTATGTTGTCTGTTATATTCAGCCATTAAATTTCCCCGTATTGGGATGAATAAAGTCTCCTTGTATTCTTCTATGCTCGCTCCGTGTCTCAAGTAAAAGTTTTTAGACGTTGATGGTTCTGTTTCCAAATACACCTGATAAAATCGCCATACGTTTACCAATTGTTGATACTGCAAATATTTGTATGCATTATGCTTTTTTTCCCCGAAATATTTACCATCAAAAATGTGATTTCATTTTTACAGACAAAGGAGTGTTTTAAAAAACGATTCAAGAAAAATGAAGTAATTCCACAGACTGAAATGACGCAAAACCAATGAATATGCATACTTTTTGCATACGTATTCACTATTACTGAAGGTCATTATAGTAGTCAAAATAAATGCACTATATTTTCATGTGAGCACTGCATCTAAATAAAATTGCATGTGGTAATAATTTTTTTTAATAGAAAAAACAGTGTCTCGTTCACGATCCAGTTTACTGAAAATAATTACAGAAAAGGGTGTATCTGACTGTCTAGTCTTAATATTGAAACGTCAGATACCTTATGTGCTTAAAAATTGTGTTTTAAATGAAACGGATGATCAGCGTATTTGAAAGCCAGATACACTTGTGTTTGCGTTTAGGCAATGAAAAGCGTTTCAGATCCTTATCAGGAATTATGCTTGTAATTTAAATAGCCTTTTCTCATGTCGCTAAACCTAACAAAAAGCCTTACACTGTCTACAGCATTTCACGTTACATGAGAAAAATAGTTTAAGAAAGAATTTATATATATATATATATATATATATATATATAGAAATATATATATATAGATCTATATATATATATATATATATATATATATACATATATATATATATATATATATATAATAACACCGCAGTTGTTAAAACAAACGCCGGACACTTTGACATAGTTTGAGACATACATTTATTAAACGAAGCCTTCTGCCTTCCTCAACGTAAGAGCTGTCTCTTATACACATCTAGATGTGTATAAGAGACAGGTCGTATACTGATCGCAGTGCATATAGGTCGTGATAGTGTGAGAGTTGCTTAAAGCATCGACCTGTGAGACGCACTCGGCAGAGGTTTACGCGACGACGTAACCCTATATAGAACAGATTCACTCATCCGTGACCACTCTGCGTTCTCTGCACAAATTCGAATTTAGAAACTCGGCCAGATTGGTCGAAAATCCAGGCGACTTCTTAGTGACGTTAGTCCTCCATCGTCTTGTAATCGAAAGCTCCCTACCGCGTATACGGCGACGGAAATAAACTGATCAACATCGACATAAACTGGATAATTATAATAGAAACAAGTTCTCGTAATCTCGAAAGCTCCGATGAGGGCAGTATATTAGAGGCAGTAGAGTATATTGGCCCTAACGGCCGCCCATACAAAAAATGATCTCTTAATCAATCAGCCGAGTGTTTCTAGAGCTCCTCATTGGAGCTAGCTAATAATAAAACACTTCCAATGACTGGAAGTGTTTCATACTTCATCATCATTCGCTGTAAAATGATGGGTAAACCAGGGAGTTATGGGTAAACGGTCTCTAATGTATTGACTTTCCGTAGTGTTAAATGATTTCAGAGAGCGCCACCAGCGTGTGTATGTTGTCGATTTGGATGGTATACATCCCAGAAAAAGTATAGTATGGAACGACACGCAAATAAGTATCATGGAACACCATTTGTGCCAAAATCTTATTCACTGATTAAGAACCCAGTTAGTCTTGGTAAACACATACACTAATTTCCATGTTCAAGTTAATAATTTTTGTTTAGGCCTATTTCAAAATTACTTAAAATTTTGCTCAAAACCCTGCTATAAGCCCTGTCTCAGAGAAAAACGTAGGCAGACTTACAAAATTGCATAATAAATTCCTGTAATTACACGTGATTACAAGACATGATTATTTTTTTTATACAAAAATTACAGAACATTTAAAGGTCCACTGATTGATTAATAGCAGATAAGATGCAGTAGTATAATACATGCTCCATGTATCAAAGTGCATGCCATCGTGTCGGGATTCAATATTTAGACATTAATTATGTCACCAACTTGGAATATGTTTTACACATTATTACGTAATTGTGTTGAATCATATGTAAAATAAGACACCTTATTTATGAATAACTGTAGTCAACTTGAGTACTCAATTACTAAGATTTGTCTTCATTCATATAATATAGATACAATAATGATCAATCAATCAAATCAAGGAATCAAGAAATATTTATTGTCGATCAACAATACAACATGATACAGTCAAAATTTGGACCTAGGTGCTTGTCCACCTTTAAAATCTAAAAATTTCCCATCACAGGATTTATTATACTAAGAAGAATTTGAGACCAAAAGCAAGAGCTTGGGTTTATGGAACTGGATCTAGTAGGAGACCAAAAGCAAGAGCTTGGGTTTATGGAACTGGTACAGAATGTACAGTATCTGTCTTAATTGTCTGCATTAACAAAGTTAAACTCTAATAAAAATCATTTTTCCTGGTTTTAAATCTGGACAATCTGTCTTCCTCAGACTTACTTTTTAATATAAACATAAAAATAAAATATCAACTATGTTATCAATTCTGAATGCACAACACTACTCACGTTGTACTGGGTAAACTAAAAATTCACAAAAAACATGCTGGTTGAAGAAAATTAGAATAAATTGTAATATACTTTTTTTTCGATATTAGATCTTGAATATGTGGCGAAAATAAAGCTATAATCCTGCATCATTTTTCAATCAAATGTTTTAGCTTTTACATTTTTTAAGAAACCCTAAATTGACATCTATACCCTTTCTGGGAGGCTGATCAATAGAACATTAAAATTAGGCTAAATTTTGCTATCATTCACTTCCACTTGATCATGCCATTAGATTATTGTAACCAACTATTTCAACAAGGTTAAATGAGGATTATTTGACACAAAATTACACAAATACATTGCTACATTTTACACTCACAACGTTTTGACTCGAATGAATTCTCAGGTTCAAGTGAGACACAAAGTTAAATCACTGTCTAGCCAATAAAGCTAAAAGGTTAAAGTTGAAAGCAGTGCAGGGATAATTAATCCCTCTCATAGACAAAGAGCTTAGCTTAGCATTTCTTTAAAAATTTAACGACTTGATGACAGTGATTTCTTTTACTTGTTGTCTACATGACTTTCGTAGTGTAGTAATAGGCCACATGTGTCTGTTGGTTTTCTATAAGTATATATTGTCTGCCGCAATTTCATTAATAAATTTGTGATTTGCATTCCTAGAAAAGGAATTGAATTGTTCACAGCATTTTACATCGTGAAAGTTATGGCAGGGTGAATATAATTAAGCAAGTCCAGAAATTGCATGGCTGCGACTAATTTAGGAATGAACAGGAGGGTACCATCAACATATCATTTTTAGTATTTCAGCATTTGAGTATGGATGCATGAACGTATTATCCAAAGCGGTCCAAAAGGTTATAAAATTTCTACCACAATACCCAGCTGATAAGTAGCCTTGAAACTGAAATAGCTGGTGCTCCATTGTTGTCTCATCCTATATTTACTACTGTTCCATTGAGACTATTCAGATATCAGTATTGGTATTGGTATTGATATTAATATCAATACATTATTATTTATAGGGAGGTTTCGCATTCGAACCCATACGGTCAGTGTGATGGATGCGTCATCATTTATGACATCACACGCCAGTTGCTATCCACTAAGTGTGCGGACGACATGTATACCTTGCTCACACGTAAATGAAAAACGCGTAGGAAAATTTTGGATTTCTAGCAGGATCTTTGGTTTTTTTTTTCTCAAATTTTTTTATAGTTAAGTGTAAAGAATAAATTTATCTTTGAATACTTCATGCCAATTTTTGACATTTGAAGACCGTAAATTATGATAGGATGCGTCTCATTTTGAAGTATCAAAATGTCAGTGCTTGGACCTTGGTGGTGTTGGGATTTTCATGTACTCCTAGGCCTAGCTTGTAGCCAAGAATTTTTGGGTCATAAAAAGGGCGGCCTATCACAAATAACCAAATATTCTGGACAACAAAGAAGGAGTATTATTTAGTATACCAATTTCAATTTTGAAAACCTTACATACTAACACTTTGAGAAGCATGATGAGAGAAGAAGATGGAGTATAGGCCTAGGCCTAGCTACTGTAGGCCCTAAGCTAACCCAGAAATTCTACAAGCCGTTACGGGTAGCTAAACGTATGCATACACGCATTATTTTGTTCGCATGCAAAACCTTTCTAACATAGTATTAATATGATGTCTCATCTTCACTAATGTTCCATTGGATGAGAAAATTCAGATATTATTAATAATATTATTAATATTGTCTCATCGTTATTCACTAATGTTCCATTGGATGAGAATGAATTCAGAGATTAATATTAATATTAATAAAAAAAAAAAAAAAAACTTGGAGAGACTGTGCAGCAAGTAGACAAGTATATTTTAGTCAAATCCAATAAGTTCCACATCAAAGAATAAGGTTGAATTTGGTGGAATAGTGTGAAAAGTTAAGAAAAACATTTATAAATGAATGTTGACAATTACATAAATATATACATTAAAGAGAATACAGTATATTTTTTTCATTGCATGCGACAAGTTAGTACACACATACCGTAAATGCTCTATTAAGCACCTCAAATAAATGGGGCTTTTTGAATAACCGCCGCACCAAACAAGGATTCAAATAAATGTTGCAGTGCTTAATTGATTTACTACCCAACATGCTTTCATGATTAATAACTAATTTTTCATGGATTGAATAAATACTAATATATTGCAGAACTTTAGCACAAAAAATAAAGAAGATTAATAATGCGTTTAACCCAGTTGGTTTAAAGAAGCTTCAAAAATGCAACTTGCATTATATAGTTTAATCACCTGTCTGTTAATATTGTTCAAATGGTCCTCAAATCCCCAACCCAACTCCAGATCATCACCAAAATTTAATTATTTCTTCATTGGACCATGACTAACTATTTTGGAATTAATTTTAGATCTAGTGATAGGTTTTTTTCACCAAAATTTATTAATTTCTTCCTTATAACCTTGATAATTTTTCAGAACCTTTCATTCAGATCATGTCGATAAGTTTTTGATATATCTGGTTTGGGATGTTTCCTTTGAAAGGTCCTCATGTCTACACCCTACTATGGACCATTACCAAAATTTAACAATTTTTATTGAACCTTTACAACTATTCTGGAAGATTTCATTTACATCCATCGATAAGTTTTTTTTAGATATTTAGGTCCAGGACTTTAAATGACCCTCAAATTCACACCTGAATCTGGATTGTCACCAGAATGTAACAATTTCTTGGTTAAACTTTCCAGAAAGCTTTATTCAGACCAGTTGATTGTTTTTTTTTTAATTCAGTGTGGGGTGTTCCCTTTATTTTCTTTTAAATGGCCCCATATCCACACCCCACTCCAAACTGTCGCCAAATTTCTTTGATGGTATTATGACTGGACAAAGTTTGGAAAATATCCAGGCATGGAAAGTGACAAAAGTGCCAGACCAAAAAAAAAAAAGATAGGAAAAATTATATGGCAGAAAAAATATTTAGAACAAAAACAATGGCTTTTCCTGCTACTGCTAGGAAAAACCAATTACAATGGTGACTCCTAAATTTTTTTTACAGAATTGTATAAAATAAATCATGTGTTTATATGACAGCAAGAAATATTGTACATACATACAATTATAAATAAATTAATATTTTTGAATTTATCCTTTAGGTTATTGTAATTCAGTTATTAATTTTTGTAAAAAGTTATATCAAATTTTATTCTATTTAATCTGGAATTAATACATTTCCTCTGAATAAATGAGTAATTGAAAACTATAAAAGGATATACGCCTGGATGTCCTTTGGCCCCATATGCATACTCAGGGGGACATGTCAGAATAGCTCTCTGTCCTAAACTCATCTGAAATACAAAACATATAGTACACTACATAATCAAATAATTTGAACGAAGATTCCACTATTAAACTCCTCTTATGGACAAAAGAAATAATGAGTACTTCAAATTTGTACTGAAAGCTGATCTATTTGAATGAAAAAAAATTGTAAAACATTTAATACTTGTTCTTAGACATGGCACCTTGAAAAAAAAACAAACATACAATAAGCTTTTCCCACCCCTTGACTGTCAAGTTTACAGATACTGTATGCATGATCTTGTTTCAGTCATACATTAATATGCACTGTGATTGATACAAAATTAATTGAGGCAATTATGGTAAATATATTGCTAGAGAGAGTAGTTTACTATGAGGAAAAAAAAAAAATTGAGACCAATCAATGTGATATTGCAAATGCAGACAAAAGGTGGTCCTACCCAGTGGCAGACTCTGGAAAAATGATAATAGAGGGGGGGCCAGGGAGGGGCTTCCAAAGACGGAGGGTGTAGAACGCCTCAGCCCTAGGTTGAGGCTGAGGTAAGAATGATTATGGCACTTCTAGATGGCCGGAAATAACTTAATGGTGCCACCACTGTTAACCAGGGTAAATTATTGTTGTTGTTCGACATCAAGCTTTGGCTGTCATCTGACGTAACAATGGATTATGCAATTACATTCAGAGAATAGGCCTATTCTTAAAACAATTTTAATAAAGCTTGATGCTGCAGAAGAATAAATTGCTTTTTAAATTGTTAGCAACTGGTATGTACAGTAATTTGAATTCTGTATCGGGAGTGGGCAATTGCTTAAAGAAAGTTGCGCATTCCACAGCTAACTTTTCATCTTTCACTCTTATCTTGACGATATGTCTATTATGTACATTCATGCTTGTACTGTGAATGAGGTGGAAATAAAGATTTTGATATGATTCTGATGTTGTCGAGCACAGGTGGGCAAAGTGTGGCCTGAAAACTGTTTTTTTGAGAATGAAAATGAATTAAAAACCCTATTTATGTGGCTCGCCAAACATCTTTGCCTAAAAAACACCTTGTTTTTACAGCCCGACAACAAGCCAGGTATCAAATTTTACCGCGGCCAGAGCGGCCATTGCTGACGGCGCCCTCCCCAGTTGGCCTTGGTGCCCCTGAAAACGACGACCACTACTTGCCTGCCCTTTTGAAGCCTTGGCCTCGGTGCCCTCACAATGCTTAACAAACTGTAGATCGTTTGACACGTAAAATAAATCTAAGTAAGAACGTTTAAATCTTGAAAGAAAACACAAATTCCAAAAACATAGGTTGCCTAAGCTAGCCTAGGCCTAGGCGAGGTTGCAGTGACCGAACAGAACATGAGAGAATTTCCATGTGTGTTGATACAAACTTTTTTTGCGGTTACCGTTGTGTGCGCATGCGTCTTACTCTAGCGGTTATTGCAATTTTAACATGGGCTCATTCGACTGGTTCATTTTGTGGGAAAAAATTTTCGTTGAGTATTATTTTCATTCGACTGGTTCGTTATTAGACTTCGTTGACAACCAGAGTGCGTTAATCAGCGTTAAGTTATCCATGTGACCAAAGAGAAACATGGCCGATTGGTGATTTTTTATTAACATTTGCGTTAATATAACTTATATTAAATTTCATAAAATAGACATTATAATATTTACCCACATGGAGTCAAAAAATTATTGTAGGCAAACAGAATAAAAAAAAACTGGATGAAAATATTTTTTTTTTAACGAAAAAACCTATACTACCACAAGTTGAAGCAATCTTGATTACGCAATGTGTATCGCGGTAACAATACAGCCATTTTGTTTTGTCGAGTATTTACAAGTTTTCTATTTGACTGGTCGTCTTCGTTGAGTAGGATGTTACCGATGCGCAGGTGGGCGTGGTTTAACGAAGAACGACCAATCGAATACGGCCTTTGTATATTTGTAAACATGTGCTTGCTGCACAGTTAACTTTGGGTGATCTTACGTCATCGCAGCTTTCACAGCCAGTTTAGAGTTGTGGCTTCCTCTCCGATGACGACGGACTGAGCAACAACACAAAGATATCAAACTTCTTGAAGTTTGACTGTTTTTTACGATCGCCGACTGTCGCAGTATATTCCAACATTGAATCGATAATTAATAGTTAATACTCTACAAAGTCATATTACCATTGATAACTATGGCTTGGCTAGGCCTAGCTTGCCTAGCCTGGCTATGACGAATCAAGGCACTCGCGAGAAATTGGTACTGAGGCTAAATCAAATTTTGCCTTGGGTGCCCTTTTATACTTGAAATTTTGGCCTTGGTGCCTTTCAAAATCATGTCATACCGGAGGCCATTTGGCCTTGCCCATAAAATCCCCAAATTCGAGGCCTGCCAATCATCTGTAAAAAGTAACGTTAAAACTGAGAATAAAGTGGTATAAAAGCAGTGTATGAAGGTTTTTGGAAGCACACTGAAAACATTAAAAATTTAGTCCTCTGTGTTAAATCAAAAATTCACTTTGGTCCTCCGACCGATTTTTATGCCACCCCTGATATAAGTAATTCACTCACTTTACATACAAAATTGTTCTTTACTGTGAAATAAAAAGATGGCTTTAGAGAGCATTTTAGAACATGTAGACAATATATTCTAATAGGTTACTTTTTATGAATCAATAACTGTTAGTCTTATTATATTAATTTTCCGAAAAAAAAAAATGTATACAATTAACCTGTGCGACACCTTCATCCCATCCTCGTATCACTTCACCTGCTCCTAAGGAAAATTTAAAGGGCTTGCCACGATCACGAGATGAGTCAAACTTTGTTCCATCCTTGAATTTTCCTGGAAGAAAATAAAATATAGGAAACCTAAAATAGAATAATGAAAATTGTTATCTGCTCACTGAACATTTCACTTTACACCTTAGCACAGTATGAGCAAAATCACAACCCCCTTTTCCAAAAGAGTCTACCATAAAATCTCAAACAGAAGTCCAATGGGTTTAATCTTGAGAAGATACAGTAGCCCATCTCGAATCGAACCTCCCTTAGAATCTGGAGTGAATGTATTTCAAAAGAAGATATAAAGCTTTAGAATCATCTTAATATAATATTTCAAAAAAATCTGTGCAAAAGTGAATAAGCATGTTTCTCTCAAGTAGACAACACCTTATGATTTTGTATGGGAAAAGACTATACAAACAGTAGTGTTTTTTCTACAACTGTATAGACTATTGTACTTGTTTGTACTTTAATACATAACTTGGCAACTACTGGTACTGTATGTCTCTTAACTTTGGGGCATCGTTAAAGCCACTATCCCACTTACGCATATTTGAACGTGTAGGTGTAGCATGCGTTACCGAGAGATGAATTTTTAAATATATTTTCAAAACCTTTCCACTTTTTGTGATTGCTTTTATTATTCTTCTACTAATACTTGTTCCTGTATGACAATAAGAAATTAAATGAAACACTATTCATAATAACATAATTGGTCCATTCAAAACTGTAGCACACGTAACAAGGATGAGTTACCGGTGCAGTGTAAGTTACAATTGTAGGCTTATGCCACTATAACAGCAACGAGGATAAGGCTTTCCTGTCGCTGGACTAGTCTGTGTGACAGTGCCATGAACAATCATGTATAAATGCCTCACCTAATATTTTTTCAGTATGATACTTATGGATATGTAGCATTATGAATTACCGAGATGTATTTTTTATTAGATTTTGAAAACCTTTCCACATTTCGTAATGACACTTATTATTCTTCTACTACCAGTTGTTTCTTTGCTATAAATAATAAAAAAAATTAATGAAACACCATGGCCTTGTCCTTTGAAAATCGCAGGTGAGCAATAAAACACTCGCCATAACTTTCAGGAAGTGATTATTTTGCGGGATGGCGCGGGGAAGGGGGGTTTGGGTTAGGGGAGTTTGGGTTAGGGGAGTTTGGGTTAGGGGGGTTAGGGTTAGGGGGTGCAGATGAACATTCAATCGCTATACAGTGCAATCAACATTAGTAAACAAGACATAAAATTTAACTTTGAATATTTGCATGTAGAGAAATAATAAAGTGCACTCTCCCAATACCATCCCCTCCCCACCCACACCTCGGGACCAGTTACGATGTTCGGATATCTATTGAACCCTTTACCAACAGCATGTTGTAGGCCAGCTAGGCTACGGCCTACAGTAGCTGCTGAAATAGGCCTAGGCTTATCTAGCAAGAGACCTGTGGGTTCGGTATGACTAGCCTACCAAAAGTTAACATACAGTACTGTACATACTATGTACTAGTATAGCCATAATATCAGCGCTGGTTTGAACGGCAAACTCGCCTATGGTTCCGGTGGTAGAACAAGTCTTCTCGGATAAGGACTATAAGCCATAGGCCCAGTGTATACAATGGCTCGTGTGCACTATAAAGAACACAGTATATCCTCCGAGACGAGTAGGGGGATACCCCGGTGTACTGGAACAGACAGCCCCTGTGGTGGACGACGAGAGTTGCTGGTACTGGGTAACCGGGTAGCACAGACACGAAGGGACCCTTAGGGACGAAGAAAGTCATTGATCGAGTTCCTAGTCCACATATCAAGTGCCCTGAGCATCTTACATTAGATGGATATGTGAGCTATATAAAACTACATTATTATTATTATTATTATTATTATTATTATTATTATTATGTACTGTACAGCAAATCTAATTACCAATAAATTTTATATTGCTTTTATGTGCATTTTTGGCCTGATATTTTTTCCCTAAACCCAACTCATTCTTCATATCATTGTCACGATGCCACTTGCTAGTTGGTTGTTGTAAACATCAGACATCAGGTCGCGCCTCCTAAACTCTGCCAGCTAATTGGTTAATTTTTTTTCGTGGGGTCATGTGCAAACATGTGCTTGGCTGTGATGACGTTGTAGCCATCGTAGAAACTTGCTGTGAGTTCCGTCTTAATCTCAGGTCGATTCCAATCGATGTTTAAGGAGCAATAATGTACTTTATTAAACAATGGAATTTGTAATTTTATTTAACCGGATCTAACCATGTAACTTTAACATTTACTGGTCTGACGTTTAAATCAAAAGATAATCTCTGACAGCAGTACGCTATTGAGACCGAGAAAGCAGTACATTGTGCTAGGCTTACTGTTACCTTAGTTGTTAATTCTTAGACAGCAATGTGATTATTGTGTTATTTCGTCCGGAAATCGTTGTTTATTAACTGTTTGTTCGGTTTGTAGAAGTTCAGACCATGGAGGAATTAGTTTAGAATTCCTCCATGTTCAGAGAGTGTACACAAAAAAAGTAGAATGACCCACGATATCGGTATAAAGACGTTTTTCAGCCTTGGCCTAGCATTTTTTACATTAGTAAATAAATGCTATGGTCAGCAAAAATTGCGTCGGCATTTCGAGGGCTGTGGAGGTGAATTATTTTGAAATGTAAGGCAAGCTATTTTTCACACTTCTTGATAGCAGTTTAGGTGCGCGATGGTGCGCGAGCACGGTCACGCGCCTTAAATGACAAGGTCTGAAACACTATACATAATATAATAACGGTCCATTAAAAACTGTAGCTTGAGCTACCAGTAGCATGAATTACCAATACAATTCGAGTGTTCGTGTAGTTGAATGCCACTTAGAAACAACAAAAAAATGTGCTAATCCTGAAGGTGGACTATTAATTACACTTGTGCCAATAACTTACTGCAAGCTTTTGTCGATGTTATTAACATGACTTAAAAATAAATTTATTTATTATAATCCTTTTACAATTTTCTAAAAAAAAAAAAAAAAAAAATGAATACAACAACGCCCTTTTATGTAAGGGGCTGGACAAACTGTAGCATGAGTTCACCATGTTTTAAGCAAGTCATGTTAAAATTATGAGGGGTATTTACTTTTTCTGTTACATGTAATTAAAACATTACCATTAGTAGTTACCTAACATAATCAACATTTAGTGTTTTTTTGGTTTTTTAAAAATAAAATTGATAATTACTGAACTACTGCACAGATATGATTAAAAACTTAATCTAAAACAAATACAGACAACATTGTATTTTGTTATAATGAATACATAAACAGTAGACAAATTTAAAATCATTAGGTATAGTTAATAAAATTAATGATAAAATGCATAGTCCTATGTAGATACAGAAGTTGACACATGCTTGTATGGATGGTGATATAGCCTTGGATGTTAGCTTAAAAAATAGAAAAAATGAAAATTCCAATCAAATGAATTTTAAGAGCTAGAGCTTGAAGTTTGTAAATGGATGTGCATAAGTGTAGCATGTGTTACCGTGGAATTGCCTTCCTGTATTCTTTGAGACTAACATTTAAGAGCTTACTTGATAGTTCCCCTTAGGCCAAGCACAAGTGTGCCTTATTTGCAGACAATCTTCAACGATGTCAACTCGCATATAAGATGAGGCTTAAAATAGCAAATTACCATCGACAAAGAGGGGGTAGTAGTATATGCACAACCTACAAATTTAAAATTTATTAAATCATGTTCGTCCTACATGTATGTGCGGGTCGTCCGAAACACAAATATTTACTACAGTACTCAATGAAACTACTTATTGTCAGTATGAATGAAAGCAATTTTAAATATGGGGAAATAAGATTTTGATAAACATTTAAAAACTCATTAAATGGTATTATTTTGAAAGATTAGACTTGCATTTGGCTCTGTTTTTAGCCAGCTAGACAGTATCAAGACCATAGAAAGCAGAAAAAAGTAGAAATTCCGATGATGAAACAGGGGGTCGTCTTATACGCCTGACATACAAAAACTGTCCAAAAATCTTGTCAAACTCGGGGGTCGATAAGCGGATCGCCTTACATGCGAGTATAATAAGAAACATAAATTACAGAACTTTTATTTATGTTAAACTTTGAGTGCTTACCTGTGTAGTGAACTACTACCATCTGACCTTTCTTGGGAAAGTTGGAGCCTGAAAATAAAAGGTTTGATTTTGATGTAATTGAGAATATTGCATTAGTTTCCTTTCATAATATCTACTGTAATTGTAATAACTTTGTTGGGTTGCTTCCCACTTCATCTCCTTGTATTATGTCATGCTTGCGGCACACTCGTTTTGTGGTGGTGGAAGAAGCCTTCTCCGAAAGGACACAAATATAGGCCCAGTGAACATAACTGGCATGTGACATCTAATGAACTCTGTACTGTCATCTGCTGAAATGAGTAGAGGGTTACTTCGGGGTACACAGTATGTGTGGATACTTGTGGATAAGCAAAAGTATTAGTTCCAATCTTAAAAAGATATTTGCCGACAGGGTCTCAACAAAGAGGTTAACGAGAGTCAATCTGGATCCCACAATAAAAAAAATGCCTGGTAGGGAGGGTTTTATGGCTTACTGTAGTAAGATAGCCCATAATGTGCTTTTAGACCACAAAACTAGGGATTGGCAATCAAAATATTATTTGGATAGGCAAATTATTTTTTACTTCCTGTTCAGACGACCTCGTTGTGCAGAGGACAAAAGGGGGTTTTGACCTATACGGGGAGAGGAAAATTCCCCTTTCCCCCACTAGTGCCACCACTCTTCCCAAGGAATTTCAACCTTGAATTTCTAAGTGATCTACTTCATTTCTCATGCCAATATAAAAATTAGCAGTTTGGTGTACTGTTGTTTTTACAGAAGTATAGTCAGTGTTAATAATACAAAAAGTGATATTTCGAATGAACATGCCATACATAATTCCTCATTGATCAGAAGCTGTTAGAATGCCCATTACCAATCTTAGGGCACATAGAAAAAATTATTAGATTATCCCTCTTTTAAAAAAAAAATGATGAGGGCAGGAGGTTTGTTTT